GCTGGAAGATGAGACACATTTGACATGCTGTTATAGACATACTTCGAGGCGTACTCCCTACGCCTGCGTGGCAGGCGTTAAAAGGGGAAGGGGAAGGGGGAATTTGGGCGCGCGAGAGCGCATGGGGCGCGCGAGGGAGAAAGGAAAGGAACGCCTGCAAGGACGCAATTGTTTTCTCCATTTTTCACGCTAAGATTCTAGGCGTGAAAATAGTGATTGGTCAGAATTAATTAAATGTCATTCTTCGACTTTATACCTTTTTCCGATTGGTTGAAATCAACATCACGCCATTTGAGTAACTAAACATATGTCGTTATAGCCTGCGAGCAAGCCCTCCTATTTGGGCAGGCGAAGCGAGCCTCGCGAGAACGCGTGAGCGAGGGGCCGAGGAAGTGTACTCCCTTGTATAAGCCATATATGGTATGTCCCGTCTTAAAGGGTAGGGTTTTTGCACTGTTTTGGTCTGAAAATGGGTATAGACTTTGCCCATTTTGGTCTGGAATCGGATATGGTTTTCAAGGGAACTACGGGAGTGTATGAACGTATTTATCCTTTTAATTCCAAATGGGTAAGAAAAAAAGAAAAATGTACGAATAAAGAAATCGTGTTTGTTAGTGTTCCAATCTAAGCAATGATGACATAATTTCTTAGAGGCCAGGTCTGAAAAAGGGTGTGAAAAATAACATATTTTGGTGTGAATAGTGTCAGGATTTGAAAACCGGGCGGCACACCCCCACCAAGAATCACTAAGGAGTACCCCCCGGGGAATAGCACTCCCTTTTTCTATGCGAAAGAAAGCTCAGCAATACGAGTAAAACATTCTTTATTTATTTGACGTGTACTTGTATGTTCTAGATTTTCAGTATAGCTCATTTTGGGTTTGTCCAATCTAAGCAAATACGTCTTTAAATAAGACTAGCTAGCGATGCGTATAAGAGTAGCTCTCCTAAAGCATGTGCCGCCTAATTGTGCAGCATAGTCGACAGGCGTTTTCGGCTCGGTCATTCCTAAACTCTACCATGAGATGTGACGTCACCGAGAGATACTCTCCCAGACTTCGCGCGAACAACCGATCAAGAGAGAATGTCTAGGGACCAGGCTGGAGCATGTGCTCATCCCTGGTGATCAGTGCTGTTCTCAGTTATGTGCGCCCTGTATTTTTTATGCGCACGGTTAGACAGGTTCGGTTATGTTCTAATGAGAAACACACAACTGCTCGAGGTTCATATATCGGGGTAACTTTTTGATTTCGTATCGTGTGTTTACAAGTTTACTACATGTTGTTTGCCTAATCCCGTACGAGACGTTCCAGCCAACCGATGGACTACTTTCATACCGAAACGGGTGGTCGATCCTCTTTTACGTGATACCGTTTCGAGATTTCTAAACCGGAAAGAAATATTACAGTCCGGTGCTGCAACCGAAGGGAAATCGCTCCTTGTGAATCGTGAAGGCATGAAATTTTTTGGTGGATATCATGTAAACGAATACAGGGCCACGGGACAGCTGACGAGAGGGAACCAGAGTGATCTTGCGCCGTTCCGGCATCACAGATCATCTGATGTAAACACGTCCGCCTTAGTTTTGAGACTCGCCTTTACTGATAAAAAGAGTTCAGAGCCACCTTAAATTTTCGAAGTATTTCTGGGCACAATCTTGGGTTTTTTAATTCCTTATGACCTAATACATAATTGCTTGACGCTTTGGATTTACTAGATCTTTAGCGACAAAGTGGAGTCGGAGAAAGTGAAAATGTCACTTTTTATTCTTGTGACTTCGTTCGATTCCGTCGACCTATGACTCCGCTTGAGACTTCGGATTTGATTTTCATCAAGTCGCGATTGCTCTCACTACTCCGACTAAACCGATAACCGACCGCCAACCGGGGAGATACCGCTATCCACGGGATATTAAAATCTATATCCAGTGGTTAATATATTGAGTATTATACGCTGGTTAGAGATTTACCTAGTGGACAGTGTTATCCACCTTTGTAACAACTGGGCCCTGCTTTTTAAAGTTTCCTCTTTGGTAGCGCTCTGAAATTTGGTCGTTTTCATGCGGTCGCATTATTTGCCATTAAGTGAAAATTTGCACCGGTGTAGTTTTATTCAGTGTGACATCTTTTTAGCTGTTCCCAGCGAAAGTAATGAGTGGAAACAATAATTTTGGATGTATAAGTACAAAGAACTATCCCCCAAAATTGAAAGTTACAATCTATGCCCCAAAAAATTCTTTTGTGAAGAGGTTCAGGAGTTTCTTTTAAGAGTTTTTGTTTTAACACCCTGTACTGACGGTAGCAAAGGACTAAAAGCTAATTGGCTGAAACTGATTAAAAGTGGCAATCATTCTTGTTAACTGATGAGTTAAAAAAATTCTTATTTCTTCGTTTGCTTTTCAAAAAGGAACAAAGATAATTTATAACGAATTACCTTGCTATAATGCATCAGTTACTATTGAAATTGCCTGCCTAAGTGAACTCTTACAATGTTATACTGTCAGTATTTTTATCATTAAGTACCGACTCGGGGCTTACTGAGTGCCTTGGCCACTAATTTGTTATAGTCTTAAATGGGATGTGTATCCTTAGCTCTAAGGACCCTGAGAGGCACCACCTGGTTAGTTCACAGCTTTTAGCAAACCAAGAAAAAAGGACGTCCGTATGTTCTAGCCTGTGTACAGACGTCTCCCGATTTTTTTCTGAGGGAACGGGGCCGTCTGTACACAGGCTACTCTGTTCAAGCGTGCTTTCCTTTTTTTCCCTTACTCGTTTAGGCAAACATTTTTCTCATTTTCATTGCTGTTTATCCTGAAAAATTGGATGTTACGAATTCATGCTTGTCTCAGAAAACCCCTAAACCAGCACTTCCAGAAACAAACAAACAGGAAAAAAAATGAAATCCAAAAATAATGGAAAGATCGAACCTTTTTGGTTGTTCAAAGAAATGAAATAGGTTATTTTAACATGGTTTAACAGATTCGCGGGCGAGAGGGTCTTGTTCCAAGCCTCCTCTGGTAACTCGGATAGCGCGAACAGGCCAGGGAACGGGGCTGAAAAAGACACTTATTGATAGCCTGAACGGTGGGGCAAAAAGACAGTTTACATTTCACACCACGTATATGACAACTTCGTTCAAGCCAGGTGATCGCAACCAGCCAATAACAGCTCGTGTTACAACGTAAAACAGCAGCTGTAGATGTGAAAATAACCATTCAGATTTTAGCCTGATAATATAAAATAAAACGACTAAAATGGAAGAACAATTTTATTGTGAGTTAGAACTTGGTAATTCTTCTTCCTTTTACGCAGCTAAATAACGTTAGTCCTCGCCATGTACTCCCCTTAAACCTTCAAGCTCTTAAGTGCCGTGACTAGCATGAAGAATTGTAAATTCGTCCTTAAATATCTATGACAAAAACAAAAAAATTAGACTTTGGAATTGACGGAAGTTACTGTTTAAGATAAGCATGTCATTTTCTTAACAGTTTGTTAATATTTCGGTTTAAATGGTTAAAACTCTTCAACTTGGACTGTTGAACATAAACTGTTAATGAAGATCCTGGATCAGGTTTTCTAAAACCTACCGGCAAAATCGTTTGTCCCTGTTTGAGCTTGTGTTATTATTACTATTTTTTTTAATTTATCAATTTTTAGTCAGTTATTATAAGTATTATTATTATTATTATTATTATTATTATGATTATTATTGATTTGCTTATTTATTTTTTTGATGTCGGAGTCAGCAACCAATTAAAGCTGTCTAAGTTACCGTAATAGCTTGCTGGCTCGTGCGCGGGTTGTGACATTGCAACATGAGTTCAGTTTTCAGTTGAATACTGTATGCACAAACAATTAGGGGAAACATCCTTATAAGACCAAAAGGCATTCGTTGTAAGTAAAGATCACACTGTAACCAAGAGTTGTAACAGGTTTTTATTGATCCATTTTTGAACTTATGCCGAGGGGCCATGATATGTTTAGTTCCTGCTTTTCTACCGTTGATATATGTGGTGCACCAAGAACCAGCTCCTGTATACCATCATCGCTTATCAGATTCTCAAAAAGTTAAATAAGCACTGAAATAAATTCCAATTTCGGCGGTGAGTTCTAATAAGCTTATTGAACTCGAATTGATACTGAAGAATCCTTTATTTTAAAATTTGTGTTTGGTGTTCTCTGCGTCATCTGCGGCCAAACTTGGCCTAGATGATAACATCGTCGGCGGGACTACTTAAGGCCAATTTAGGATAGGCGCGTATCACGAAGGTTTTTAGGCCTATTTTATAAAACGAAATAAAGTCAGTAAAAGAAAAATGACACCCTATTCAAGGGAAAATCGATAACTCAAAACGTTTACGTGGACAATTCATAATAGATAGAATTCAGAGTGAGCGAATTCGGATCGTTTTGTTAATAGTGCGTTAAAAAGGTAGTTTAGGTTTAGGTCTTTAAGACGGCTCAGGTCCTGTGTTTTCAGGCACCCTATCAAAAGACCACACCAAATGAATGATACCCTATTTTAGGCATGGCCCACTGGGTAGCCTTATAACAATAATAATAATAATAATAATAATAATAATAATAATAATAATAATAATAATAATAATAATAATAATAATAATAATAATAATAAAAGCTTTATTTATACTCGAGATATCTATCAGCATTATGCAACGCTGGTCTTAACAAGATGTCCAGTAAATAAGATTTATAATAATATAGCCTTAGGTAATCTGAATGGCAGCTCACCCTTGTCAGTTCCACTAGAAAATAAATTTAAGTAAGGATAAAATGAATATTTTATTGTAGACTTTATAAGCATTCAGTGGGCCAAGAAATTTAACTGCGAAACGGAAAAAATGAAACGGAAGACTGCAAACTGAGGCAGGTGCCCGTGAGAAACATACTTCAAACAGGCGAATGGAAACTTTGCAGAGTCATTCTTTACAAAGGGAGCACTAACACTTCATTGCAGTTAATTTTTTTACAACTTCTCACGATGACAGGAGCGGAGGGTTTGTATCCAACGCTGGTCACTAACTGCATCTTTAAAGTGCAACTAACCCCCCAATTTTTTTTTCACTGAACGAAATCTTCTTATCATCCTGCTTACTTGTGCGAAAAAATTTTGGTCATAGCGTTTTTCCTTATTTTTTTATAATTTTTCAAAGTTTCAAATTTTGGCGGTTCTTGCGGCCACTACCGAGCTCTGTGGAGAATGGGTCCGAGTTTTTTCACATGAAACTTGCGACTCGCGATCACTTTGTTCATCTTCCACTTCGGCCAAAGTTGCCTCAGAATCTTCTGAATTAAAACTTCTCTCAGAACTTGAATCACTTAAAGACATATTCCGTTGAATTTTGGTCGTTTTAGTATCCCGCTCGCTTAAAATCAGTTAAAATGATTTTCCCTTTCTCGCTTCTCGGTCATTTACTCATGAGTTCGCGGCAGATGTCCTCCTTCGATGACGTCACAACAACATTCGTACCCAGCTCCCACGAACCTCGGTAATGGGACACAGGAGACCTAACTTTAAACAGCCATGGAAACGCGAGGATTTTGTCAATCACGATAATTTTTTCGCAAAAGTAATCAGAAAAATAAGGAGATTTCATTTAGCGAAAAACATTTTTGGGGGTTAGTTGCACTTTAACGTTTTCTTGTTATACACCTCTATCGCGTTAAACATCATAACAATACAAGCGCTGAGGAAAACGTCGTCGTTGCCAAGGACTTTGAAAACATTGCTCTTGAGTTTGGCTGCTTCTGATCTCGGTGTTGGTTTACTTGTCCAACCTATTTTTGTTTCACATCTCATTATTCAAATACAACAAAACACTAGCGATAATGCTTATGGTACAGTATTTACCATTTTCGAAACCCACATGGCTTTACTTTCTTTTGCATCGTTTTTTAGTGTTGTCGCTATAACTGTTGATAGATTCTTAGCCATTCATCCTCATCTCAGATACCAGAAACTTGTGACTCACAAGCGTGTTATTGCCGTAGTCATATCTACTTGGGTGATCACCGCATATCTCTCTTTACTAGTCCCTGCTGCTCGTTTGGACTGGATTCCTAAAAGAGTTCCTGTGATTATGTTTTCAGCCATCGGCGCTGTTTGTTTCATAACTACAGGATTTCTCCACTACAAGATATACGCATCTGTACGACACCATACAGATCAAATCCAAGCTCTGCAAGCACAAGAAGAAGCACAGCATAGAGAAATGAAAAATGCTGTGAGGCTGAGAAAAACTTCACTTGCTACATTTTATATCTATTTCCTCTTTTTGGCTTGTTATGTGCCAATCTTTTGTGTCAACCTTGCCGAACTGCTCTGTGATGAAACTGCCTTGATCCAACATTTGTGGTATTATGTTAGGACAATTATGCTTTTCAATTCATCTCTCAATCCTTTGATCTACAGCTGGAAGATGAGACACATTCGACACGCTGTTATAGACATACTTCGAAGCATACTCCCGTGTCGCCACTAAAACAATTAAGGGCCTGTTACGTGAAGGTGGGGGACCCTAGGTAGGTGGCGTAACCCGCTCAGATGGAGTAAAAATATAAACCGCGTTTAAACACAATTTTGCAACCTCGTCATCCTGAGGTGCACTTGCTCAATATTATTAGATGGTCGCAATGCATGTAAACCAAACAAACTGGCCAGAAAACGACGTGTGTTAGAGGTTCAGTACTCTTCTACTATGGCACTTGCTGCATCCCTTTAGTGCTGTGGCTTTCTATTTCACTTTTAATGATACGAAGCCTCGGCTAAAGGTAGTTAGTTGTTCAATCAACGAATTTGTTGTAAACACGAATCCAACCTGGGCTACGCGGGTTACCCCACCTTGAAACACTTACGTGGCAATATATGACCCTCGCTGAGAGGGTTACACGGACTGGCTAGCCTGCGAAAACAGCCGTTTCTCCTCGCTCTTCGCCGCTGAGGACGTTTCGCGAGGAATAACTTGCGTTCCTCAGCGCGAAACGTCCCCAGCGGCGAACAGCGAGGAGAAACGGCTGTTTTCGCAGGCTACGGACTGGCAGACAGGCGTTTGGAAACAATTTCCGATTTTACAAAAATGACGTAGATCTTCAAAACAACTTGACGTTACCATGGTAGCAAGCCAGTTTACCAAAATAATCGTGAGTTGTAATAAGGACTGTGCTTAAAAGAAGCTTACAGTAATTATAGAGGTCGACCAGTCATTTTAATGAAGAATAAGAATACAACGAAACCCGAATAAAGAACCCGTGATCTTCTGTGAAAGGCTGATTCAGAAATGGTTCTTAGATGTTTGATCCATGCAGTAGTGATGAACCGAGGTGCGAAGTTGAGCACAGGTTCTTAGTAAAGGATGAGAATAATTGTCCACGAAATAAGTGGTATCTACTTCTCAGTAACATTATATTCACTCTCAGTATTGTTAATTTTCAATGGCCCTGAAGACACCCACATCTGTACAAGTGTTTTCTGCGCTTTATTTCCTTTTTTTGAATAAGATACTGCTTTATTTGTCAGGCTGAAGAGGTTCTTACATATAGCTAACAAAACAAATTTCTGTCTGGATGTCCATATACTACGCAGTTACTTTAATACAGCAAAGCGTTTCACTCTATCTAATCGTGTTTCTACGACTGCCATAGAAACATCGGCCAAAACCTGTTAGGTTTATACACAGAATAGGGTGTATGGGACTGAAACGCCATGTAATCGTTCAGAGTCATGTAATTTAGGGACATTTCAAAACTTAGTCCGGGAAATCTTAAGACAACATGGTTAGTTGGTCAATCCATTAATTAGAAAAAGGATACGGCAGTTGGTTTTTGAAAGAAGTCAGAATTTACCAAGCTGCATTCGGTAAGACAAAATACTTGTAGATTTATACGTTACCAGATCTGCAGAATGATGGAGGCTAAAGGATCGTATTCGACGCTAATCATTAATTGCATCTTGAACGCTTTCTTGTCTTACACTGCCATCGTGTTCAACATCGTAACAGTAAAGCGCTTAGAAAAACTTGTTCGTTGCCGACGCCCTTAAAAACATTACTTCTGAGTCTAACTGTTTCTGATCTTTTGGAGTTGGTCTACTTGTCCAACCTTTGTACGCTGCAATTCTTGTGATGCAAATAGAAGAAAATACTGAAAACAACTTATATTATGCTTTACGGATTACACACAACATCCAGGGCAATTAACTTGCCTTTGCTTCGTTCTTTGGTGTTGTAGCTTTGACTGCTGATAGATTCTTGGCTATTCATTTTCACCTCAGATACCAGGAACGTGTGACTCAGAAGCGTGTTGTTGCTGTAGTCTTCTTATTGTGGGTGTTAAGTGCATTTCTGTCCATACCTATGTCGAAATGGATTCCAGAAAAGGTTTTATACAGTAAGTATGCAACGATAAACGCTTTTTGTATCATAACTTCAGGATTGCTTTACTGCAAAATATACGCAGCCGTACGACGCCACACAAATCAAGTTCACGCCCTACGAGTAGCAGGGAACAGAGACATGGCAAATGCAGCAAGGTTAAGAAAAACTGCAGTTAGTACATTCTACGTGTATGTGGTATTTTTAGCTTGTTACGTGCCAGTATTTTGGCTCTCTTTTGCCACTTTGATCGGTGGTTTAACTGCTGTGCCATTTGATTTGTGGTACTATGTCTTCACACTAATGTACCTCAATTCATCCCTTAATCCTCTGATCTACAGCTGGAAGATAAGAGGCATTCGTCAAGCCGGTTCTGGGCATACTTCGAAACATCTTTTCTTATTTTTGACTGAAAGGAGGGTCCCGCAAAGAATCAAGAGAGCTCTTCCTTTTTTTATGCGAAAGACAATTCAGCAATCATGTGAAAGTCCCGGGGGGGTGTACTTTCCTATATAAGAAGCTAATAGGGATGTGCTGCTAAATGGGGTCGCATTTTCACGACTGGATTGACCATAATGGGGTCGCATTTTCAATAGAGTTACTAGAATGGGGTCGTACATTTTCTGATTTTTGGGTTAAGACAGTTCTTCATATTTACGGTTAGTAAACGTACCAGAATGCTTGTACTGTAGGTAAAACGTAAAGTGTTCTTTATTCAGTGTAAGGTAGATACATATTAGAAAGTGACTAAGTTGGGATCGCGAAAATTACGTTTTTGCCCAAAAGTGACTAAGATGTGGTCTATAATTGGCCACAGAATAAACTATAACGGGGTAGGCGCTCTGAGAGGCCAGCGGCACATACCCAGCAAAAATTAACCCAAGTACCCCACCCCCCCCCCCCCCGGGGAAAAGTCTTTAATTCATTTGACGTGCACCCAAAGTATA